GCCTAGACACAGCCTTGAGTGTGGAATGAACAAGCAGCCCAGGGTATGTAACGGACACATGATGTTACGTGTGTAAGATACGTGGGTCTCAAAGGCATCAGAGACACACAGCCCTGAGTTGCAACAGTTATGTCCCTTCATGTTGTAACAGTCACATAGCCTCAATTGTTTAGTAGTGACACTGCCCCAAGTGGGTGAAGATGCACAGGCTCAAGTGTATAATCAATATGTGTCCTTGTGCGTATAAGACACACAAGTATGTGACTGATGCATGGTCTCAAGTGTGTGAAGAGTAGGGTGGTTCTGGGTGCTGGTTTTTGAATGTGATATTCATTGGGAGCCCTATCCACCCTCTCAAATGGATGTCAAAGATCCCTGGGCACTATTCCAAACAAGAGCAGGGAAGTTCAAACCTGCTGTTCTGACCAATATATATTCCTCAATCAATAGCCAAAAACAGATCACATCGCTGTTTGTGGGATCTTGCTGAGTGCAAACTGTTTGTCACATTTTCCTACATTACAACAGACTACACTTCAAAAGTACTACATTGGCTGTAAAACACGTCGGTATTGTGAAAGGCACTATATAAATGCAGGTGTCTCTCAGGTGTACTTAAACAATCCCCCTGCAACTTAAAAAAAAATTTTAAAAAAAGAGAGGGTCCCAAAATCCCCAGTCAATATTTCTACTTAAACCAATCAAAACACATTGCCTGGTCAATACCTCATTGCTGTCTTTGGGCACTTGTTGGGTTCAAATTGGCCTTCCCATTTCAAACTTTACAGCAAGAACTCCATTTAAAATGGACATCCTTGTCTTTTTGAGGCTTTGGGACAGCCTGATGGTTTGTGTAAGGTGCCATTCAAATGCAAGTTCTTTCTTCCTCCTGATGTGTGGTGTTAGTTTTTCAATCAATTTGAAATTGATAGAGAACACAACATGACAAAATACACAGAAACAGAATTTAATTGTTACTGAAATGAGTCTGGTCATAAGCTAATTTGCTCACATAACACTGGGCAGGAAGCTTGTTACCTGATGTCATCTTTCCAATCAAATGTATGTGAAAGCGTCAGCTCAGATGCACAACCCTCTCAGAACAACCAGAGTTTGCAACTCCTCTTTTATCAGGTTCAAGTCCCACCTACTCCTGGGGTGTGGAATAACATCTCTGAACAGGTTGACTGGAAAAATGAACATCCACAGATACTCGAGGCTATGCGATGTCATATTGTTGAAGAAAGGTTTGAGAATTTTTCACTCAATCATTCCCAGCTTATTGGTGGCCAACTGACTGCCAGGATTATGTGCCACAAACCAATCATTGGCCATTCTGTCAGTAGTGTCTCCTAGTACCAATACATACTGATGGAAGCTGTGATGTAGTACCTGCACCCCTCTCCTCAAAGTGCTCAGCCCATGATGGGGACAATTTTTCAACTCCTTGCCATCTCTCCCAACTTGCCATTGAGCCTAAACATGGCTGCCAAGGTCTATTATGGCTGTCTCTGATGTGCATATCCATATACCAGCATTGAGGTCCTGAGTAGCAATCAGGCTGAGGAAAACCAGCTCTCTTCACTCTCCATCCCAGGGTATGGAGACCACGTTTGGTAAGATAGGCAAGATAGACTCTAAGATAGGCAATTTTTGCTTGTGGGACATAGATACATCAGGACCTGTTCTCTGGAAACAAAAGGAATACGTGCAGGCCTTGCTTCGTTTTTGCAATACCTGGTAGTTTGGGGGAGGTGACAGTTATCCATTGCTTTCTCTATGGAATAATGTAACCAGAGTTGACTTGGCAACCAATCTGCTCTCTTTATTCTACGGTACATGTGGTTGTGTTGGGTTGAAATGTGGCTTTCTTGCATTTGTCCTGATGAGCATAAGACACAAATCTTCAACAACACATCTCTCTTCACAGAAATGCAGATACACAATCTAAATTATTCCAGGAAGAAAGTTCCAGTAGAAAGAAAGTGCACTCACAAGCCCCCCTTCCTGATATCGCAAAGTGTTTTATGAAGACAAATTATTTGTGAATTGGTGATTGTCATAATGTAGCAGAACAGTCACTTTGTACAAAGCGCAATGACGGGTGACCTTATTGAAACATACACAATTCTTAAGGGACTTGATAGGGTCAATACAGAAAGGTTGTTTCCCCTTGTGGGAGAGTCTAAAACCATAGGACATCATCTCAGAATGAGGGGTCACCCATTCAGGGCAGAGATGAGGAGGAATTTCTTCTCTGAAAATAGTGAATCTGTGGAATTCTTTACCACAGGGTGCTGTCAAGTTTAGGTTCATTAAGTATATTCAAGGCTGAGACAGATTTTTAATCAGGAAGGAAATCAAGGGTTAAGGTGGAAAAGGCAGAAAAGTGGAGTTGAGGATTATCAGATCAGCCATGATCTCACTGAATAGCAAAGTAGATCCGATGGGCTGAACGGTCTACATCTGCTCCTACATTTTATAGTCTTATGGACAGTGAGGGAATGGTTACTGTACTTTGAAGAGCAGCAAAGGAGCTAGCCCTTTCGAGGGCCAATTCTTACTCCTCACTTAAATGCACTAAAAACAGATCTTTCAGTTATCAGAACATTAGTGGGAGCTTGCTGTGTGTGATTTGACTGCTTCCTAAGTCCTTTTGTGACGTAGGAAGTAAGCAAGTAATTTCATGCAGCAAGTCCTCCATTGGCTATAATGCACTTTGGGACATGCTGAAGCTTGGAATGTGTCTTCAAAACACATTTACCTTCAGTCAACATTCCAGAGAGATATTCCTGAGGCAGTATGCTGGGTGGAAATAAAATTTTGCTTGAAAAATGGGTAAAATAACATTGGATAAAATAACATTGGAAAACACATCTGTTCCTTCTCTCTTACCATTGCAGCTGAGGTTTTCATGTTTCACTGATCTTAAAGGCAACTACCAAATATTTGCTTTTAAATTGAAGTCAGTTCATGGGAATAAGTTAAGCAAGGGCTTCTCAAAATAGGGATGAGGGTCAGGGTCAGGATCGCTCTCATTGGACTTTGGTCCTCTGCCTTCATGGATCTCCCCCCACCTTACCAACATCCCCACCCACCCCACATCTTGTAGTTTTTACTGAGCGGCAGCACTGTGGCTCAGTGGTTAGCACTGTGGCCTCCAGAGACACAGGTTCAATTCCACCCTTGGGTGACCGTCTGTGTAGAGTTTGCACATTCTCCCTGTGTCTGCATGGGTTTCCTCCGGGTGCTCTGGTTTCCTCCCACAGTCCAAAGATGTGCAGGTTAGGGTGGATTGGCCATAGTGTCCAGGGATGTGCAGGCTAGGTGGGCTATTCATAGGAAATGCAGGGTTACAGGGATGGGGTGGGTTTGGGTGGGATGCTCCTCTTTGGAGGGTCAGTGTGGACTCCATGGACTGAATGGCCTGCTTCCACATTGTAGGGATTCTGTGAGGTCATGACAATTCACAATGCAGGGGGGGGAAACGTTTGGCAGAAGCTCAGAGTTAGAGCCCCATGAAGTAGATGGACCCATAACCTGCAGAGCAGACCAAGAGGAAACCAAATCCTAGTCTCTGATCTGAGGGCCAAGTAGGACAACATCATCTCATGGCCTCTGGGACCTCAGTGTTTTGTGGCACCTCCAGTTGTTACAAAGCACCTCAGTGTGAGCTGGAAACAGACCACAGAACAGGCAAACTTTCGTGTGATATTTAAGTTCCTTTAATACAACATTGAAAATATTTTTCTCAGTACCTGCTACAGTCTGACAAGAATGCTGTTTAATGTAATCGCAGCTTTTTTTGTCTAAAATGTTTCTGCTTCTTTTTTAAAGGTTTTTCAAAATTATTTTAAAAATTGCATTGGTACCCTAAAACTTCTCCTTCATTTCAGCTGGGTATAAAAAATTTGGTATCCAAATCTACAGGCATCCAGTAGCAGGTTTCTTTTAAAACAATGAGGAAATTCCGGACACTAAAAGGGTATCGGATAGTATGCGGAGATGAATACTGCATCATTAAGTTGATAAAAATTACCCTTGGTTCATATACAATTAGCTTTCTTTTAAAAAAAAGCTCTCTTTTAAAAAATATATACCCAAGTTGAGATGATCTTAAGATTAATTATAAAATTAAGAAAATAGATCAGTGTTCTGACTACAGAAATGTTGCTTCCCTTCCAAAGTTCTCTTTTTGCATATCAAAATTAATTAGCAACCTATTAATTTTTAATCTACTTATAATAATTTATGCATTGGTAGCTGAACAACTAACTTTTCTCTTTCCCCTGTTGCGATTCACAGCTCTTTGCAATAAATATTAAAAAGTAGTCACAAATTTCTTTTCCTCTGTAAGGCATTGATAAATAATAGAGGTCTTTATACAACAAAAATAGCGTTTTTTTGTGTGTATGTGTTCTTATATGTCACTGCAGCATTTTTGTTGCAGTTCGTACCTTACAATAAACAGCCTGCTACTCTTCATTCTAAGAGGTGGTGCTTAGGAGAGAATACGTTATGTAATTTGGGGAAAGAGGCAGAGGTGGGTATTGAAAGCAAGGTTCACCTAGGGACGGAGAGAGAGCGAGCGAGAAAGGGAGGGGGGGAAAAGACTGACAAAAGGTAGGCTGACAGTGTAATGGAGAGAGAAACACAGACAGACAGTAACGGAGAGACAGAGACAGACAGAGCTGTCCACCAGCCTGGCATCGGAATAATGTTCAGTTTCTGATTGGAGGCAATTCTTTCCGAGCAGGTAACCTGATGGAGATGACAGGTCGTGGAGAAGCCCAGTCCCCCGGTGCTTCTATCTGCTCCCATTACTACTTAAAACAGCTCTCCATCGTCATCCAGAGAGATCTGACAGCAACATCCCATGAATCGCCTGTGTGTCTTTTCACCTTAGAATAACAGCGCCCACCTCCCCCCCCACCCCCCCCACCCCCAAGTGAATGGGAGTGAGGTCCTTTTATCACTGAACACTCCTTCCTCAGTTTGCTCTACTGCATGCGGTCAGGTTGCAGAGGTTGAGGGGGATACTGAACAAAAGCGGCCGTGGCAGCGGTGGTGGGACTCCCACCTATTACAGGCTGCTGCAGAGTGGAATAGCCAAATCCAAGGTAGCCAGTCGCGGGCGAAGCGGCATATGGGTACTGATCATAGGCGGCATACTGTGCGTAGGTGGCAGACGTTGTATAGTCAATGAAAGGCGAGGTCACCCCCTGCAGCTGGGGTGGAAGGATGACTCCAGGCTGTACAATCGCTTGTGGGTACACGTACTGTGTGGTGAGCCTGCAAAACAGAGAGGTACACGTTAGAAAACACTGGTTAGAACAGAAACAGGAGGGTGGTGACAGCGTTACTAGTCTAGCAATCTGGTGTGCCAGCCTAATGCTCAGGGGTTCAAATCCTGTCAGGGCAGCTGCTGGAATTTAGTTACAAGGACAGAACATGAAGCTAATCTCAGTGATAATGACCTGCATTTTACCAACAATTCTTGTTTTTAGGGGAAAAAAACACTCATCTGGTTCACCAATGTAATTTAGCAAAGGAAATCTGCTGTCCTTACCTGGTCTGGCCTACATGTAATTCCAGAGTGCAGGGAAGAGGGGTATGGGGAGAGGAAGAGGGACGGGTAGGGGTGAGGGAGATGGGGAGGGGTATATGGTAGGGGTGGCATGGTGGTAATGTTGCTGGCATACTAATCCAGAACTCAGGCCAATATTCTGGGAACATGGGTTCAAATCCCAACATGGTACGTGGTGAAATGTGGATTCAGTAAAATCTGGAAGAGAGAGCTGGCCTCAGAGAAACCATTGTCAATCGTTGTAAAAACCCAACTAATTCACTAATGCCTTTTAGGGGAAGGAAATCTGCCATCCTTATTTGGTCTGACATCCACGTGGCTCCAGACCCACAGCAATGTTAACCATCCTCTGGGAAATAAATGGCAGCCAGGCCAGGTGCACCCCCAAATCCCTTGAATAAATAACCAAAAAAAGACGCACACAAATGTGGTTAACTCCAACCTGCCCGAGGGATGGGCAACAAATGTCAATCTTGTCAGTGACACCCACACAATAGAACAAATGGAACAAAAATATAAATTTCAGGACAACATAAATTTCTATCACACCTTTCAAGAGCTCAGTATGGAGTAAAGCCAATGAGATATTGTTCAAGTATTGGAGGCAAGGCAGCAAGATCCAACAGCAGTGCAAGTCATAAGCAATTGGTTTATTTTGCTTAGCTCAGCAGCAAGCTGAGAGATTAGTACTGTACAAGACACTGGTGAAAACTCTGTAACTCTTCTTCCACATGCTGCAGCGTACATCCCCTTGAGAGGGTATATTCATGTCTCATCCAATAAGTGGGACCAGCCTCAGCAGCATCAGCCTGAATTCAGTGCACAGGTCTCTTGCAAGAAGCTTGGAAAGACAACCTTTTGATTGCGAGCAGATAGCAACAGGAGAATGACAGCAGAGGCAGGTGGTCACTTAACATTGTTACATTTACGCCAACAGCAAAAAAAAAGAAATCGCTTCACAGCTGGTCAGAGATTATGAGGACAAAGGGATTTTGGTTTTAGTGAAATCTCATTCAGCGCCAACAAAGTCTGCCTCAGTGGATGTCCCTCACTCAAAGCCCTCAAGAGGTCAATAGCGACAATGGATGCCCACTGGATTGGTACATGGCCACTGGCGCCTGGAACATGGCCAACCTGGAAATACCCCCGCTCTTACCACCCGCAATCGAGGGTACTGGGAGGAGTTACAGGCTGACAATCAACCCATCTGCCCATATTTAGCATTGCCATCAAGTGTGGAATGGGACTTGAACCCACAGCTTCTGACCCAGGGGTAGGGAAGCTACCCACTGCACTGCAAGAATTGCACTTGAATGTTCCCTTCTCACGTTAAATTTTTGTCTGCAGAAGCTTGGCTGGTTGTGCCTTGCTGGTTAGTAATGTGTGTAATCCTTCCACAATTCCATTCTACCTTGGTGAAAAAAATAATCTCCTTGGACTTCCTACTTTTTCTCCACACTCCACAATTTCTTCCTTGCTCTTTCGACTCTCAAAATATAATTCATTTCGGACAGAATGCAGTGTCCCTCTCGGCGAATCTGAAAAAAGGGTGAGCTCCCCCTATTCATGGTCTGCACTACTGCAAAGTAGGAAAGGCTAAGTCCAGTCACAGAGTCATAGAGATGTACAACATGGAAACAGACCCTTCGGCCCAACTCGTCCATGCCGACCAGATATCCCACATAAATCTACTCCCAGTTGCCAGCATTTGGCCCATATCCCTCTAAACCGTTCCTATTCATTTACCCATCCAGATGCCTTTTAAATGCTGTAATTGTATCAGCCTCCACCACTTCCTCTGGCAGTTGATTTCATACACGCACCACCCTCTGCGTGAAAAAGTTGCCCCTTAGGTCCCTTTTAAATCTTCTCCCTCTCATCTTAAACTATGCCCTCTAGTTTTGGACTCCCCTACCCTGGGAGACCTTGTCTATTTACCCTATCCATCCCCCTCATGATTTTATAAACCTCTAAAAGGTCACCCCTCAGCCTCCGATGCTCCAGGGAAAACAGCCCCAGCCTATTCAGCCTCTCCCTATTGCTCAAACCCTCCAACCCTGGCAACATCTTTGTAAATCTTTTCTGAACCATTTCTAGTTGTACATTATCCTTCCTACAGCAGGAAAACCAGAATTGCACACAGTATTCCAAAAGTGGCCTACCCAATGTCCTGTACAGCTGCAACATGACCACCCAACTCTTATACTCAATGCACTGACCAAAAAAGATAAGCATATCAAATGTCTTCTTCACTATCCTATCTACCCGTGACTACACTTTCAAGGAACTACGGACCTGCACTCGAAGGTCTCTTTGTTCAGCAACATTCCCTAGGACCTTACTACTAAGTGTATAAGTCCTGCCCTGATCTGCCTTTCCAAAATGCAGCACTTCACATTTATCTAAATTAAATTCCATCCACTTCCAAGGAATTATGAACCTGCACCCCAGGTCTCTTTGTTGAGCAACACTCCCCAGAGCCCCCTGTATTAATTGTACAAGTCTTCCCTGATTTGCCACAGCAAAATGCAACACCTCACAAATATCTAAATTAAACTTCATTTGCCACTCCTCGGCCCATTGGCCCATCTGATCAAGATCCCATTGTACTCTGAGGTAACCTTCTTTGCTGTCCACTGCACCACCAATTTTGGTGTCATCTGCAGACTTACTAACCATACCTCCGACGTTCACATCCAAATCATTTATACAAATGACTAACAGCAGTGGACCCAGCGCTAATCCTTGTGGCTCACCATTGGTCAGAGGCCTCCAGTCTGAAAAGCAACCCTCCCCCACCATCCTCTGTCTCCTACCTTCAAGCCAGTTCTGTATCCAAATGGCTAGTTCCCCCTGTATTCCATGCGATCTAACCTTACTAACCAATCTAGCATGAGGAACCTTGTTGAACGCCTTATGAAGTCCATACAGATAACGTCCACCGCTCTGCCTTCATCAATCCTTTTCGTTACTTCTTAAAAAACTCAATTAAGTTAGTGAGATAGTAGGAACTGCAGATGCTGGTGAATCCGAAACAACAAGGTGCAGGGCTGGATGAACACAGCAGGTCAAGCAGCATCATAGGAGCAGAGAGGCTGACGTTTCGGGCCTAGACCC